AGTTTGGTTTTTTTGTTGTTGTTTTTTTTGTTGGTTGGGTTTTTTTTTCTCCCCTCCCCGTCAGAGCCCAGTGTTTTACTCTCTTAAGGCCGGCTCCATCTCCTCTTGGGATAAGGTTTAAAAAAAATAAGGATGTGATTTGAGTGTGGCTTGGTTCAGAGAGCTGGAAAGGCTGCACCTTCTGTCACGGGGGAAATGCAGGGGGTCTGGAATCATTAAAGGGGAACCTGGAATCCTTAAAGGAGGGTGAAGACTCCTAAAGGAGGGTCCAGACTCCTTAAATGAGAATCTGGAATCCTTAAAGGAGGGTCCAGACTCCTTAAAGGAGGGTCTGGGATCATTAAAGGAGAATCTGGGATCATTAAAGGAAAATCTGGAATCCCTAAAGGAGGGTCCAGAATCATTAAAGGGGGATCTGTAATCCTTAAAGGAGGGTCTGGAATCCTTAAAGGGGAATCTGGAATCATTAAAGGAGGGTCTGGAATCCTTAAAGAAAAATCTGGAGTCCCTAAAGGACGGTCTGGAATCCCTAAAAGGGGATCTGGAATTCTTAAAGGAGGGTCCAGAGTCCTTAAAGAAAAGTCTGGAATCATTAAAGGAGGATCTGGAATCCCTAAAGGAGGATCTGGAACCTTTAAAGGTGGAGCTGGAATCCCTAAAGGAGGGTCCAGAATCGTTAAAGGATAATCTGGAATCCCGAAAGGGGGATCTGTAATCCTTAAAGGGGAATCTGGAATCTTTAAAGGAGAATCTGGAATCCTTAAAGAAAAATCTGGAATCCCTAAAGGGGGATCTGGAATCCTTAAAGGAGGGTCTGGAATCCCTGAAGGAGGGTCCAGACTCCTTAAAGGAGGGTCTGGGATCATTAAAGGAGGGTCCAGACTCCTAAAGGAGGGTCCAGTCTCCTTAAAGGAGGGTCTGGAATACTTAAAGAAAAATCTGGAATCATTAAAGGAGGGTCCAGACTCCTTAAATGAGAATCTGGAATCCCTAAAGGAAGGTCCAGACTCCTCAAAGGAGGGTCTGGGATCATTAAAGGAGGGTCCAGACTCCTTAAAGGAGGGTCTGGAATCCTTAAAGGGGGATCTGGAACCGTTAAAGGAGGGTCCAGACTCCTTAAATGAGGGTCCAGGCTCCTAAAGGAGGGTTAATGTTCCTAAAAGAGTGGTCCAGACTCCTTAAAGGAGGGTCTGGAATCATTAAAGGAAGGTCAGGACTCCTAAAAGAAGGGGTCCAGACTCCTTAAATGAAGGTCCAGTCTCCTAAAAGAGGGTCCAGACTCCTTAAAGGAGGGTCTGGAATCATTAAAGGGGAATCTGGAACCTTTAAAGGAGGGTCCAGACTCGTTAAAGGAGGGTCCAGACTCGTTAAAGGAGGGTCCAGATTCCTAAAAGAATGGTCCGGATTCCTTAAAGGAGGGTCCAGGCTCCTTAAAGGAGGGTCTGGAATCATTAAAGGAGGGTCCAGTCTCCTAAAAGAAGGGTGCAGACTCCTAAAAGAGGGTCCGTGCTCCTAAAGGAGGGTTAATGTTCCCAAAAGAAGGGTCCAGGCTCCGTAAAGGAGGGTCCAGGCTCCGTAAAGGAGGGTCCAGACTCCTTAAAAAAAAGGGTGCAGACTCCTAAAGGAGGTTCCTTTTATCCTCTGAGGGAAGGGCTGAGGACAAATTAGATCCCAGGAGCTGGAATGAGGGGGGAGAGGGGGGGCAGCAATGAAAGATGGTGTTGGGGGGGCCACGAGGGAGCTGGGGAAAGGGAATCCTCTGAGGATTCCCCCCAAAAAAGCCAAAAATAACACCTCAATGTGAGCCAGGGGGGAGTCTAAAAATCTAAAATCCCTCTTTCTCATCCCAACTTTTCCAGCCAGGGAGGGGGGTTGGAGGCAGAGCTGTCACCCCGTGGTGGGGGCAGCTTTTGGGGCTGATGGATGGAAACTGGGAGCTTTGCCCCAGCTCTAAATCGCTGCCCGAACCCCAAACCCGCTGCTTTTCCTCCCGAAAAATACCACAAGATTCAGAGTTACCCCTTTCGAGCTCTTGGTCCGACCCCGAGGGGTAAAATCAAGCTAAAAAGACCTTGGTTTTCTACTTGTTTTAAATTTAAACCTGAAAAAAATTGCCTTTTAAGTGATCAAACGAAGTCCCTTGACTTTTCCTGTCCCTCAGCAGTGACTGGTTTCTGGAAATGTGGTGTTAATGGAATATTTCCCAAATTTTTGATTTTATATATTTTTTTTTCACATCTTTTTTCTTTTAGTGCTAAACCGAGCTTTTTTTTATTATTCTTATTATTTTTACTGACACCAGGGTGGAAGTACCGCATGATTTAGCGCCTGAGAAATTTGGGGGGAAATCCTTTGCATCTGGATGATTATTCTTTTATTATTTATTTTATTTTTTAACGGCTGGAAAAGCCACTTTTCCTTGTGCTTTCCTTTGCCTCATGCACGTTTTCACTCCTCCTCAAGTCTTTTTTATTTTCAAACTTTTCACTTGAGGGTAAATTGGGATGTTTTTCCCCAATTCCCCAGAGCTGGATCTATTTGAAGCGTCCCAAAGTGGCGATTTTTAACAGAGGGGCCCCAAATTTTGAGTGAAATGAAAAAAAGGGGGGGAAAAGAAATCAGGGGGAAGGATTTGGGCTGAAAAAGGGGAAAGAAATCCTGTTTCTGCTGTAGATTTTTGAGGTGTTGCCTTGGGTGACGGTGTCACGGTGGCGGCTCTACAGGCTCAAAACTGCCAGAATTAGGCTTTAGGATGCAAAAAAAAGGTGGTGATTTAAAAAAAAATAAAATAAAAGGCTTAAAAATAAGGGGGTGTTAATGCTTGGCTGGGATTTTTCTTGGTCCGCACATTTTCTGCCCCCTCTTAATTTTCTAGAGCCGTTAAGCGCCGCGTGATTTTTAAGTGTTTTTTTTTTTAACCTCGTTATTTCTCTTTTAATTTGTGTGTGTGTGTCGGGGAGGGGGGGGAAAAAAGGAGAAAAAAAAATAATTAAAAAAAAAAAGGTGTTCCGTGGAGTGGGGTTTGAATTTGGCTAGCTGGGGTCTCTTTTTAACTCCATCCCAAATAATAGGGGCTCTGGTTATTTTGCAGAGTGGCTCTGAAGAATGGACAGAATTGCCACGGCTAACTACGAGCTACAGTTCACAGTGGAAACAAAAACGTTGTAGTTTTTTTTCTTATTTCCTTTTTATCCCTTATTTTTTTTAACGACTAGTAGTATTATTATTAATTTTTTTCCTTCGCTTTTTTTCTTTGTGTTTATTTTTTTATTAGTTTGATTATTATTTTTTTTTACATCTCTCGTAGTTTCCCCATCGCTCCGGTGTGATTGCTCTTTTTTTCCCTTTAAATGCTGATGTGTGAGGTGTAGGTTGTATTTGTTTTTGCTTTTTTTTTTATTAAAACTAAGGGGAATATTGTCCTCTTTGCTTTTCTCCCATGAGTTTGAAAAATAGCAATCTCTCAAAATTTTACCTACAGCTGCCCCCAGAGCCAAAAAAAAAGGGGATAATTGACCCGAGAAAACTAAAGAATTCGGTTAACAGGCGATGTATGACTTTAAGTCCTATTTTTATTGGGTTTGGGGTGTTTTCTTGCTTTCTTTTTTTGTTATTCTATTTAATATTTGGAATGAGGAGGTAGAATTGTGATGGTGTTAAGAATTGCATGGTCAGAGAGAGCCTGTAGTTGGCTCCTTCTTAAATCCTTTGACCATGCTTTGTGTCTTTAGAACCACCTTCTAAAAAGCCTTTCCGAGGGGGAGCCGTCCCTCCTGCCTTTAGAGAAGCTCACAATTTGCATGTTTTACACCAGTTTTTAAGTTTTTAATTTTGCTCCTGCCTCGTTAGCCCGAGTCGTGCGTAGCCCAAGAAGCCTTTTTTTTTTTTGCTTTGACTCTTCTCGCTGGTGCCGGAAAGGGTTGAGGTTGAGAGAAGACAGGAGGTGAAAAATAAAGCTGTAGGGTGTGATTTTGGAGCTGGGGGGGTGTTTTTTTGGGGGTGGGCTCCTCCCCGGTGCTGAGCTGCCTCTCTCTTCTCTCTGCTCCCCAGGGACGCGCGGGTGGTGAAGGACATGGCCACGGGCAAATCCAAAGGATACGGCTTCGTCTCCTTCTTCAATAAATGGGTGAGCTGCCCCACCCTCCTGCTCTCCGTTTTTGGGGGGTTCTGAAGCTCCTGGTGGGCACCTCGGGGGGATGGGATTGTTCGAGGTGGTCATGGAGGACCCAAGGGAGGGGATAGAGTGTCCCCTTGGCAAGTTGTAGAGGTGACACCAAGCTGGGAGGAACAGGTGACACGCCAGAAGGTTGTGCCACCATCCAGCAAGAGCTGGACAGGGCTGGAGAGTTGGGTGGAGAGGAACCTCCTGAAGTTCAACCAGGGCAAGTGTAGAGTGCTGTGCCTTTTTGGGGAGGGAATACCCACCCCACCAGGAGAGGTTGGGGGTGACCTGCTGGAGCCTTTTTGGGGGGGAATAACTCCATGGACCAGGACAGGTTGGGGGTGACCTGCTGGAGAGCAGCTCTGAGGAGAAAGAGCTGGGGGTTCTGGTGGACAACGGGGTGACCATGGGCCAGAAATGGGACCTTGTGGCCAACAAGGTCAATGGCATCCTAGGAGGTGTCAAGAAGAGCGTGACCTTCTTGATGGAGGGAGGTCATCCTCCCGCCCAGCTCTGCCCTGGGGAGGTCCCATCTGGAGCACTGGGACCAGTTGTGGGCTCCCCAGTTCCAGAAGGACAGGGAACTGCTGGAGAGGGGACAGCAGAGGCTACAGAGATGATGAGGGGAGGAGAACATCTCTGTGATGAGGAAAGGCTGAGGGACTGGGGCTGTTCAGCTGGAGAAGAGCAGACCGAGAGGGGATCTCATCGATGCTGAGCAAGAGCTAAAGGGTGGGGGGCAAGAGGATGGGGCCAGACTCTTCTCAGGGGTGCCCAGGGACAGGACAAGGGGTGATGGGCACAAACTGGGACGTGGAAAATAAGGAAAATGTCACTTTGAGGGTGGCAGAACCTTGGAAGAGGCTGCCCAGAGAGGGTGTGGGGTCTCCTTCTCTGGGGAGATTCCAAACCCCACCTGGACACGTTCCTGTGGGACCTGCTTTGGGAATGGGTTGGACTGGGTGGTTTCCAGAGGTCCCTTCCAACCAACGTTGAGTGACATCCAACGAGCGATGAACCTGAGAGGGTGACACTACGTCTGGCTTCTATCAGGAGGGTCTTAGATGCTTTTAGTGGGACCAAACGGTGTCCTGCATCCTACTTTTGGAAGCAGGACCTCAAGGGTGAGGTGGGGGTGGTGACATGCCTTCCCTTGGCTTTGTCACCCAAGGAGGGAGGTGGTGTCACCACGGTGGGTTTCTCTTCCCCCTTCCCTCCATCTCTTCTCTCTCTCTTGGGCAGGACGCGGAGAACGCCATCCAGCAGATGGGCGGGCAGTGGTTGGGTGGAAGGCAGATCAGAACCAACTGGGCCACCAGGAAACCTCCAGCTCCAAAGAGCACGTACGAATGTAGGTCCTTCAACCTCCTGGGGAGGTGGGGAGAGGGGACAACAGGGCGAGCTCCAGGCCTGGGAGGGAGGGAGGGGTGGAAAAGGGGGTGCTGAAGGCAAAGTCTCTTCCCAAAAGGTTGAAAACTCCTGAATTAAGGCAATTCCAAGGGCCAACAGTGGGCACTTGTGGCCAAGAAGGGGCATGAGGAAGAGCGTGGCCACAGGTGGGTGGGTGGGTTTGTGAGAGGAGATCTGGAAACCTCCTGGGGAGGAATAACCCCCCCCACCAGGACAGGTTGGGGGTGACCTGCTGGAGAGCAGCTGTGGGGAGAAAGAGCTGGGGGTCCTGGGGGACAACGGGGTGACCATGGGCCAGCAAATGGGCCCTGGTGGCCAAGAAGGTCTCCTGGAGGGGCATCAAGAAGAACGTGGCCAGCAGGTGGAGGGAGGTCATCCTGCCCGTCTGCTCTGCCCTGGGGAGGCCCCAGCTGGAGCACTGGGACCAGTTCTGGGCTCCCCAGTTCCAGAAGGACAGGGAGCTGCTGGAGAGGGGACAGCAGAGGCTACAGAGATGATGAAGAGCTGGAGCATCTCCATGATGAAGAAAGGCTGAGGGACCTGGGGCTTTTTAGTGTGGAGAAGAGAAGGCTGAGGGGGGTCTGATCAACACCTATAAATACTTCAAGGGTCTTTTTTCAGTGGTGCCCAGGGACAGGACAAGGGGAAATGGGCACAAGCTTGACCATGAGAAGCTCCATCTCAACATGAGGAGGAACTTCTTGACTGTGAGGGTGGCAGAGCCCTGGCAGAGGCTGCCCAGGGAGGTGGTGGGGTCTCCTTCTCTGGAGACATCCTGTGGGACCTGCTCTGGACTAGATGATCTCCAGGAGGTCCCTTCCCACCCCAAACCACCCTGTGATTCCATAATTCCGTAGCTGCGGTGACTCTTCCCACTCTGGTGGGGTTTTTTGGGGGTGGGAAGTCGCTTTTTCTCCAAAAAACTATTTTTGTGGTTTTTTTTCTTGCCCTTCCAAGTGGGACTGAGGAGAAAGAGCTTCAAAATGAGGAATATCATCCCTCCCCCTTGCACTGTGCCCCCCCCCTCAGCCAGGATTGGAATTCCCACCCCCCAACCCACCAGAAAAGTTCTTAAAAAATATAAAAATATATATTTTATATATTTTTTTTTCTTTAAAGCCAACGCCAAACAACTCTCCTACGACGAGGTGGTCAATCAGTCCAGCCCCAGCAACTGCACCGTGTACTGCGGGGGTGTCACCTCGGGGTTGACAGGTAGGGTGACCCCCCCACCTCCTCCCCTTCAAAAATCTCATTATAACCTTTGAGGGTGGCAGAACCTTGGAAGAGGCTGCCCAGAGAGGATGTGGGGTCTCCTTCTCTGGGGAGATTCCAGACTCCACCTGGACACGTTCCTGTGGGACCTGCTCTGGGAAGGGGTTGGACTGGGAGGTCTCCAGAGGTCCCTTCCAACCAACGTGGTGGGACATCCAACGAGCGAGGGTGACACTACATCTGGCTTCTATCAGGAGGGTCTTAGTGGGACCAAACGATGTCCTTCATCCTACCTTTAGAAGCAGGACCTCAGGGGTGAGGTGGGGATTGGTGACGTGCCTTCCCTTGGCTTTGTCACCCAAGGAGGGAGGAGGTGTCACCACGGTGGGTTTATCTTCCCCCTTCCCTCCATCTCTTCTCTCTCTCTTGGGCAGGACGCGGAGAACGCCATCCAGCAGATGGGCGGGCAGTGGTTGGGTGGAAGGCAGATCAGAACCAACTGGGCCACCAGGAAACCTCCAGCTCCAAAGAGCACGTACGAATGTAGGTCCTTCAACCTCCTGGGGAGGTGGGGAGAGGGGACAACAGGGCGAGCTCCAGGCCTGGGAGGGAGGGAGGGGTGGAAAAGGGGGTGCTGAAGGCAAAGTCTCTTCCCAAAAGGTTGAAAACTCCTGAATTAAGGCAATTCCAAGGGCCAACAGTGGGCACTTGTGGCCAAGAAGGGGCATGAGGAAGAGCGTGGCCACAGGTGGGTGGGTGGGTGGGGAGAGGGGACAACAGGGCGAGCTCCAGGCCTGGGAGGGAGGGAGGGGTGGAAAAGGGGGTGCTGAAGGCAAAGTCTCTTCCCAAAAGGTTGAAAACTCCTGAATTAAGGCAATTCCAAGGGCCAACAGTGGGCACTTGTGGCCAAGAAGGGGCATGAGGAAGAGCGTGGCCACAGGTGGGTGGGTGGGTTTGTGAGAGGAGATCTGGAAACCTCCTGGGGAGGAATAACCCCCCCCACCAGGACAGGTTGGGGGTGACCTGCTGGAGAGCAGCTGGTTAATGAGATATTTCCCCCCCAGGGGGGCTCAGGACTCTGGGGTTTTCGGGGTGTCGAGGGGTGTCTGGGTCTCCCTCCTCCTGGGGGGCTGGAAAAATGGCAGAGGCTGCCCAGGGAGGTGGTGGGGTCTCCTTCTCTGGAGACATCCTGTGGGACCTGCTCTGGACTAGATGATCTCCAGGAGGTCCCTTCCCACCCCAAACCACCCTGTGATTCCATAATTCCGTAGCTGCGGTGACTCTTCCCACTCTGGTGGGGTTTTTTGGGGGTGGGAAGTCGCTTTTTCTCCAAAAAACTATTTTTGTGGTTTTTTTTCTTGCCCTTCCAAGTGGGACTGAGGAGAAAGAGCTTCAAAATGAGGAATATCATCCCTCCCCCTTGCACTGTGCCCCCCCCCTCAGCCAGGATTGGAATTCCCACCCCCCAACCCACCAGAAAAGTTCTTAAAAAATATAAAAATATATATTTTATATATTTTTTTTTCTTTAAAGCCAACGCCAAACAACTCTCCTACGACGAGGTGGTCAATCAGTCCAGCCCCAGCAACTGCACCGTGTACTGCGGGGGTGTCACCTCGGGGTTGACAGGTAGGGTGACCCCCCCACCTCCTCCCCTTCAAAAATCTCATTATAACCCCCCCCCCCATCGCCTCATTTATCCATTTTTGGGGGTTTTTGGGGTTTTTTTGCTGCAGAACAGCTCATGCGCCAGACCTTTTCTCCCTTCGGGCAGATCATGGAGATCCGAGTCTTCCCAGATAAAGGCTACTCCTTCGTACGGTCAGTTGGGGGGGTTTTTTGGGGGGGGGAGGGTGATGAATTTAATAAGAATTAGGGATTTTTTTTGCCCTTTGAGGAACCCACAATTTGTCCCGGTTCCCACAATTAGTCTCTTTATTAGTTAATGAGATATTCCCCCCCCAGGATGATTCCATAATTCCGTAGCTGCGGTGACTCTTCCCACTCTGGTGGGGTTTTTTGGGGGTGGGAAGTCGCTTTTTCTCCAAAAAACTATTTTTGTGGTTTTTTTTCTTGCCCTTCCAAGTGGGACTGAGGAGAAAGAGCTTCAAAATGAGGAATATCATCCCTCCCCCTTGCACTGTGCCCCCCCCCTCAGCCAGGATTGGAATTCCCACCCCCCAACCCACCAGAAAAGTTCTTAAAAAATATAAAAATATATATTTTATATATTTTTTTTTCTTTAAAGCCAACGCCAAACAACTCTCGATTAATGAGATGTTAATTAATGGTAATGAGTTATTCCCCCCCCCCCAGGGGGGCTCAGGGCTCTGGGGTTGTTGGGGTGTCGAGGTGTGACTGGGTCTCCCTCCTCCTGGGGGGCTGGAAACTATCAAGTCCTTTAACTCCACCCCCAGAACTGGCTGTAAAGTGAGTTTTTGATTAATTAATGAGACATTAATTAATGTTAATGAGATATTTCCCCCCAGGAGGGCTCAGGGCTCTGGGGTTGTTGGGGTGTCGAGGTGTGACTGGGTCTCCCTCCTCCTGGGGGGCTGGAAAATATCAAGTCCTTTAACTCCACCCCCAGAACTGGCTGTAAAGTGAGTTTTTGATTAATTAATGAGACGTTAATTGATGTTAATGAGAGATTCCCTCCCCCAGGGGGGCTCAGGACTCTGGGGTTCTTGGGTTGTCAAGGGGTGCCCGGGTCTCCCTCCTCCTCAGGAGCTGGAAAACCCAGAGTCCTTTAACTCCACCCCCAGAACTGGTTGTAAAGTGAGTTTTCCATTAATTAACAGTACATTAATTAGTGTTAATGAGATATTCCCCCCCCAGGGACAGCCCCTGTGGGACTCTGTGTGTTGGAGGGCTCCAGGAGGAAGGTCTCAGGGCTCTGTGGTTCCAGCAATCCCTTCTTGGGGGGGTGACAGGAGGAGACCCATCTTGGTGGTTCCACCAGCCCCAAAGCTCTGCTGGGGGGGTCACTGGGGGTGGGTGGTGGCTACTGGTGGCGGGTCATGGCTACTGGTGGCCGGGTCCGGGTCTCCCTCCTCCTCAGGAGCTGGAAAACCCAGAGTCCTTTAACTCCACCCCCAGAACTGGCTGTAAAGCGAGTTTCCCATTAATTAACAGTACATTAATTAACGTTAATGAGATACTCCCCCCCCCAGGGACAGCCCCTGTGGGACTCTGTGTGTTGGAGGGCTCCAGGAGGAAGGTCTCAGGGCTCTGTGGTTCCAGCAATCCCTTCTTGGGGGGGTGACAGGAGGAGACCCATCTTGGTGGTTCCACCAGCCCCAAAGCTCTGCTGGGGGGGTCACTGGGGGTGGGTGATGGCTACTGGTGGCGGGTCATGGCTACTGGTGGCCGGGTGGGTGGTTGACACTGTCCCCCCCCTCCCTGGCTCCTGGTGGGACAGGTTTAATTCCCACGAGAGCGCGGCACACGCCATCGTTTCCGTCAACGGGACGACGATCGAGGGCCACGTGGTGAAGTGCTACTGGGGCAAGGAGACACCAGACATGGTCAGCCCCGTCCAGCAGGTGAGAACTTCTCCTCCTGCTCCTCAAACCATGGAATGGGTTGGGAAGGGACCTTGGAGACCATCCAACCCCTGGGATGGACACCTCCCACCACACCAGGTTGACTCCAACCTCCTCCAACCTGGCCTTGAACCCCTCCAGGGATGGGGTGGGTTCTCTGACCAACCTGGGCCAGGCTCCACCACCCTCAGGGGGAAGAATTTCCTCCCAAAATCTCATCTCCATCTCCTAATTTTTGGTTTCAAACCCTTCCTTCTCCTCCTGGGGCTCCCCTCCCCAAACACCAGCCCTGGAGGGATCTAGAAGCTGGTGCTGAGGGCCGTGGGGCAGTGGTGGGTTGATGGTTGGAGACTCCATCCATGATCACAGAGTGGTCTCCGTTGAGTTGGAAGGGACCTTGGAGACCATCCAACCCCTGGGATGGACACCTCCCACCAGCCCAGGTTGCTCCAAGAACCCCTCCAGGGATGGGGCAGCCACAGCTTCTTGGGGCAACCTGGGCCAGGCTCTCACCACCCTCAGGGGGAAGAATTTCCTCCCCACATCTCATCTCCATCTCCTAATCTTTGGTTTCAAACTCTTCCTTCTCCTCCTGGGGCTCCCCTCCCCAAACACCAGCCCTGGAGGGATCTAGGAGCCGGTGCTGAGGGCCGTGGGGCAGTGGTGGGTTGGGCAGTGGTGGGTTGATGGTTGGACACCATGATCACAGAGTGGTCTCCTTTGAGTTGGAAAGGACCTTGAAGACCATCCAGCCCCTGGGATGGACACCTCCCACCAGCCCAGGTTGCTCCAACCCCCTCCAACCCAGCCTTGAACCCCTCCAAGGATGGAGCAGCTTCTCTGACCAACCTGGGCCAGGCTCTCACCACCCTCAGGGGGAAGAATTTCCTCCCAAAATTTCATCTCAATCTCCTAATTTTGGGTTTCAAACCCTTCCTTCTCCTCCTGGGGCTCCCCTCCCCAAACACCAGCCCTGGAGGGATCTCAAAGCCGGTGCTGAGGGCCGTGGGGCAGTGGTGGGTTGGGCAGGGGTGGGTTGATGGTTGGTCTTGGTGAACTTCAAGGTCCCCTCCAAGCCAGGGAAGTGGTGGAATGGCCAGGGCATCACAGGATGGGTTGGGTTGGAAGGGACCTTCAAGATCATCCAGTTCCACCCCTTCTAGTGGCTGGGACATCTTCAAGGAGACCAGGTTGCTCAACCTGCCCTTGAACCCCTCCAGGGATGGGGCAGCCACAGCTTCTCGGGGCAACCTGGGCCAGGCGCTCACCACCCTCCCACCAAACAAGTTCTTCCCCACAGCTCAGCTCCATCTCCCCTCTTTTAATTTAAAACCCCCTGCATGTGCTACTGCAGGTCCATCAACTACAAATATCCCAGACAAGGGGAAGTTTAACCGCCCCCCCTCAGGGCCTCCAGCCCCCCCACCATTTTGGGGGGGGTCTCCTTTGGGCCCCCCACCATCTCAGGGGGTCTCCTCCAGCCCCCCCACCATTTTGGGGGGGTCTTCTCTGCCCCCCCCACCATCACCTTCTCCATCTCCTCCTACTTTTGGTGGCCCCACAGCTGGAGGCACCACTTTGGGGTCTCCCCCCCCTCCACTTTGGGGTCCAAGGG